GCTATTAAATAAATAAAACAATAAAGATTATTCATAAATACAATGTTGTTTGTCCTCTGCCATGGTGACCTGTGTTTTTAAATAACAGAACTTTGATTACCAGGTATTTTTGTGTTTTATTGCAAACATTTTGTTGACTGTAATTGTCAGTAGCTGCGTTTCCATTGCAAATGTGCGGAAAACTTTGTCGATATTCTGTTAATGTCGAAAAAACACAGTTTCGCARCTGTGGTGTTTCCATTAAGTAAGAAATGCTATTAAAGTCACGTGAATATGTTTGTTCTCATGATAAGTCATTACAAACATGGCGGCGATGGATGTAAACACATAGCATGTTGCTACCACGACACTAGCGCTCATCATCAGAGGAGACGTCGGCGTCTTTTATTGAGGATTTCCAGAGACGCACTTGGGAGCGGCTACGTATGCTGTGTTTTTGGGAAATTGTAGTCGGTGAGTTTACTACTTTATTTGACTACTTCTTTGATATTACTACTATTTCTTCTTCCTGTTATCTTCTTCGTCGTTGTCTTTTTCACCCGTAGAAACAGCCGGTTGTTGATCACATGACTCCCGTGATGCAAAAAAAGTGTTTCCATTGCAGTTTTGCAAAAAACGCCAATTTCGAAACGGCCGAAAAACCACCTCATCCTAGCGCAAAAACATTTTGTCGAAAAACATAATTTTTTTTCGAAATTGACGTGTTTCCATTGAACAAATTCATTTTCAAAATTCTAATTTGTGCATTTTCATGGCCAATGGAAACACAGCTGTAACATGGAGTGGTTTGTAGCTCAAACTGTCTTGACTTCCTGTTTTTGAATCTTTTATGATATAAAAGAGGGAGGACTGGAGAACAAAAGAGAACAGAGGTGTTATCTTGAGTGACGGGACTCCCCTGCCCACCTCCACCTCCTCCTCCTCCTCCTCAAACATCGTGTGGATGTCTGTCAGAGTGTCTGAAGCCTGTATCRGTGACTGCAGGCAGGGACTCTACCAAAGGCCTGAGACAGGAGAGACACCAAAGCAGCTTCAGCCTGAATGACAAGAGGAAATTCTAATGCAGGATATCTTTTCAGGTGGCAGACTCCAGTTGACTCATCACTGAGGACATAAAATGGTCCTTACAACATGCATGGGAGCAATGTTGCTTTCTTCAGGCAATATTAAAGGATTAACAGGAGCACTGTGGTGTGAACAGTCTGTTGAACTTTGTTAAATTCTAGCCACAGGATCTGGACAACTCTGGATTCCTCTGCGTACCAAAGTATTCTGAAGTCAAATATGAGGCCATCTGTGAAGACTTGGTCCATCTGGGTCTTGCAAAAGAAAAAAAAGGCTATAAAAATTACTGAAAATTATGGAAGCARAGAGCAGACGTTTTCTGCAAAAAAACTTTTTCCCATGGTACTCTTGTGATCACATGATAATAGCAGATGTAAAAATCATCGGGAAATTAACTCGTTATCTCGAAAAAATGCTCATCAATATTTTATTATAACAAAATAATATGATTATTATTATCAAACTATTATCAAAAGAAAACCAAAAAAAAAAAATGGGGAAAACATCCGCTCTCGGCTTCTGTAGAATAAAGGTTACATAAAAAGTGTTTTCCTTAAAATAGACATGATGCATTCAATGTTTCATAGAGAACTTTATTGAATATATCTATATATTTAAATATTCTCAATATATATGTATATATTTATATATATACCCTATATATGTATTTTGTATTTCCAGAGATGATCAGTATATTGTATTGCTTCCCTTTTGTCATCATTTTCCCTTTCTTGAAACAATCTGCTGAGAGTTTCTTTCCTCAGAGTTTCAGGTTTTGCTTGTGTCAGTAGCCTAAATGCTGGCAAAGAAAACAAATTCTCATGCTGGTTTGAGAATAGCTCTAACTTTAGGACATTGTTCTCAAAGAAAATTACTAAATTTCTAAAACTGGGGGAAAAAACAGATTTTTCTTGTATTGATTCGGTAACAATACACACATTTCTGCAATTAAGGTGATGCTTTTAGTTGAAATTCTTATTTGCCAAGTAAACTCATCTGACATCACCAGTACAGAATAAATGTTTGCCAACATTAAGGCTACTGACATGTTTCACAGGCAGGCATGTAGCCTTTTTAGCCCCAAGTTACAGAAACAATATGACACTGAGAATACCTATACATCACCACCAAAATAAAGATATCAATATAAATTTTATCACCTACAAATATACACTGGATAAAACATTAAATAAAAAAAACACTGAATATTAGGCTACGCTGGTTATGTTAAAAAAGTAAAACATCTACGCATTTCATACAGGGAAATGCAAACAAAATAATTTTGGAAGAAAGGTGAGAAGAATGGAAAACATTTAAAAAATTGGGACCAWCTGAAGCAAACAAAGCAAACGGGACAAAACTGAAGAGAAATTACATATGAATACAGGGAACTTCCATGAACCCAACAAGAAACAAAATCAGTTTAAGAACAATTAAAACAGAATTTAAATAGTATTATACAATCTGAAACTGATATCACATTTTTAATTGATTTCTGAACAAAAGTCTGACCTAATCTAGATGGAAGAACAACTAAAAAGAAAAAATAAATCACATTTTTAGAAAATAAATATTAAATGTTCTTTTGAGCAATGTTTTCCCAACTGCTCAGAAACTATCCAAACATTTTTTTCCTGGGAAACTTCCAGTCCAGCACAAATGGCCAAAGCAGGTTGTTAATGAAACAGAACGAGCATGCTCAGACGACTGCCGCTGTAGAAAATCATTACAAATACAATAAAAAATAAAATAAAAACTAATGAATTTGTATATAATCAACCTCTCACTTGTGCACATGCTTTCCACATGACACCACTGACTTTTAAGCAAGAGAAAATAAAATGAAATATAAAAACATATAAAATTATAATGGTTTTAAAATGTATAAATACCCTGCAATAATCATTACGATCATAGAAACACCAGCAACATAATATCAATACTCAATAAGTTACAATTTCCTGTAACCTAAAGATGACAATCAATCACTCAGAATGAAGAGACAACTCAAAGTTTACCATTTACAGATATTATGTGCTTTAGTATGAGAGAATGGTTGATAATATAGCTCATAATACATTTATTATTCTAGTTTGTGAAACAGTATATAGTTATAGCTCATAGAGAGAGARGAGGAATGTGCTCTTTTCACTTTACCCCTCTTCACCATCCAGAGTTTGGTTCCATTTCCTTTTTCTAAAAGTGCTTTCAGCTTTTATGCAACAGTCCARTAATTTGACATTTAGAACACACAGAAAATCCGATACAATATGATATGCAGATCATATTTTGCAGACTTCATTTTCATCTTGAAAACATTTTAAAAACACCCTGAAAAATAGGCTTCACTGGGAATTTAATTGGTTTGAGGGAAATTATTTCAATTGCTTTGAAAAGTTTTGAATAATAAAGTTGATATTTTATTCTGAAGCAATAAGTGGTATAATGTGTTTAACTGCTGACTAAAAATCCACCCCCTGAGAGTTGGACCCCCGCCCCCTTCGCTCGGGTTTTCAGCCCTTAGCTGGAGCACTCAACAGATTCTGCCTTTGAGCCTTCAGTGCCTCGCCACTGTCACGACGAGCAGTCATAAACAAACCCAAATCATTTTTAGGCAATTAAATGTCACACAAAGTGCCTGACAGAGCCTCTTTTCAAGTACTTTCATTGACTCGGAAGCTTCCTGATGACACATAATGACCGTAATTTGTGAGCAGGGAGCTAATTGTGGAGCTGCCCATTGGTGAGCTGTCATTCAATCCCACCGCTTTTAGAAACACCAATTATGATTGTTCCCTAAAATTAGAAAAAAAAAGTTTTCAAATCCTAGCTGTACAGTGGTTATTCATATGCTGATAGGACAACACAATAAAAGTAATATATTCAATAACATTTTGAAAACCATGTAGCAGTTTGGCCATCCATCCTTTATTCATCCATCCTTGTCAGGTTAGAAAAGCTCCAATAGTCTTTTCAGCTTTTTCTGGGAATCTAAAACATAAACTGTATTAATCTATAGAACAAATGTGAATTAAAGGCACCAGGACTTGGTTCATGAGCTATGCAATGTTGTATTTTTCGAACCAGAGTCTGCGTAGTGATGTGGGGCTCTAAGTCTCACTTACTATCCAGCACACAATCATGTCTGCAGCCCTTTTGAGAATGAAACAACTAATTAGAGCTAAATATATTACAATAATAAATATTTCAGCTTAGAGCAGCAAGGAACTAAAAAAGACTTAAATCTTGTACCATTTTAGTTTCAACTTTGTCAGAAAACGATACATAAATACTATGAGGCATTGCAGACCATAAGGGATCCATACCTCATCCAGTAACTTTTGAGTCTATTTGAGTCTACTCAAAAAAAAAAATCCACCAAAATCGTGTGGCCAGGAGGTATCCAAATGCTGAGACCACCTCAGCTAACTCCTTTTGATATGAGAGAACAATATTTACTCGAAGCTCCTCCTACATGACTGAACTATTCATCCTATCAGTCGACACGTTTGATAAGTTTTGCCAGTCACTTGTATYCAAGATCTTGTTTGGTTATGACCTTGTAAGAAAATTYARTGTTCGTTAACTGAAATCGAGACRAAACYACATAAATGTTKWATAGATTAAAATRTGAACAGAAGAGGACCAAACAACACCAGTGACTGGAGTGAACGGAGGTTTAATGCTGATCGGTCAGTCATGAAACCCACGCTGAATGGAAACCGGAAGTCCCAGCATATACTGTAAATACATGCTCTTCAGTGCCTGGTACACCCACTACTGGCCTACGGCTGAATCGCAGACACTCAGACAAAAAACCTGTACTTATGTTTGATTAACGGTTTCTTACGTGTTGTGATGGTGTTTCGGGCATGTATCTAAACTATTTTAATCAAGACATAACAATAGTTAAACAATGGATTATAAAAGTCAATACTTAAAAAGGAAAACTAAGAAAATGGTGTGGTGCTTTTAAAATCAGTGTTTAACATGACTAATAAATTTCTTCAACCTCATGGCTATGGATGGGGACCGGGACCATAAGCTATGTTTTCAACCAATTTTAATGTGAATTTTAAGCAAATTTTTAAAATGTTACAAAAAGAAAAGAAAAAGAAAAACAGAAAGCGAATCAGGCTTGTTTTCATCAACTGGCTTGGAGCAAATCAACCAGGATACGCAAAGTGTAATTACGTCAGAATTTTGCTGTTTCCACCTTTTCTAATACAACACTTCAAAATGTGCATTAAAAAATAAATTAAAAAAAAGGTTGATCGAAACACAGCATGACAGGCCAGTAAATTGAGTGCCATGCCTTTTGTTTCAGCTTCTCTCATTAGAGACYGGAGCAATTACCTCATTACTGTGGACAACGCCCTGATTCGTCAGTTTATCTCTGGCTCTATTCTGCTACCAAGAGATAAACTAAAGCACAGACTTACCCCAGATCTGGACAGAGTATTTCAGCATTTCAGTGTTTACTTTGTTGGAAAACTTCAATAACAGACTGAAATGAGGTTAGCAAACTGAAAAAAATGAACATATTTTTAAGGAACAGAATACCAGCACTACAGCACAGAAAGGCTTTCACRTCTTTTATCTCTCAAAAACCGTGACGAATGCCCATTTCTCATTGCAGGTATCTCTTTCAGTGAATAATAAATGGAGGCAAACTGCTCCCATGTGTGTCATTAAGTTAGATATGGCTGAGGTGACGCTCTACGGACCAGAGGTTAAGTAGCTATTTTAATCTGAAGTCGGTCGCTGAGCAGCTTGGTCCTTATGTGTGGCATTTACTTCCCATCAAGAAACATGTCACACAAGTCCAGCTTCTATTCCTAAACTATTGTTTCTTTTATTATGTGTGATGTTAGAAGTTATTAAAGACTTGAGAATTACTCAGACACCTATTTAATAGTTTTCAGCACGAAACCTCTGGATTTGTAAGACTTTGTGTGTTAAAATTTTTCATTAAGAAAAACTTTGAGTTGGAACCATTTATCAAAAAAAAAAGTCCAAACTTAAACTTTGACTGCACCATTGGACAAGATATTAAAAGTACTTTAAKGCAGTGAACACAACATCAGGGGTTTTATGACTCTTTATGATATGGATAGGAGAGCTAAATTAGCCAGGCTCATTGACAGAATCTTAATTGTTGAAGTGTCACCCAGACATATTTAACCTTACCTTTTTTATATTCTCTTTACTTTCAAGCCCTTCTCTGTGAAGTTCAGTTTTAAACTGGTGTAGTTTTCCTGTTGAGTGTATCGGAGTTGCTATCCCGGTCCCTTTTGGCCGTCAGTCGGTCCAGGGTTCCAACATTGCCCCTGTCCCTCTCCATGGTGGTTGTGGAGATGGGGGCCGTCTGGGCTGGAACAGCAGCAGACGTGGAGGTATTTAGCGGCGCTGCATTCTGGGCCGCAGCTGCTGCCGCTGCCAGGTTGGACTTGGAGTGAGACGGAAGCGTGCCGCCGCTTATCACGGCACCGGCTCCCGCTCCCCCGCCACCGCCGCTGCCAGAATCTTTTGGGAAGTAGTTGTGGAGCTGGTAGAGCGTGGCACGGTCTACGGTGCCGTAGAGGGGCGGGGCGCCTCCTCCGAGGCTCCCCAGTTTGGAGTCCCTGGACAGGGTGTACATGGAGATGTCACCGCCCCCTCCGCTCCCGCCGCCGCCACCTCCGCCGTGGTGCGGGTTGGGCAGCGTGGCCACGGAGAACGGCGGGGCAGACGGAGGCAGGGTGAAGGTTTTGGACGTGCCGACGGGCGAGGTCTCCTGCGAGCGAGGCGGGTCGGTGGAGCGGGAGCTGGAGCGGGAGCGCCGTCTGAAACGGTAGCTGGGCAGACGCAGCATGGCRTGAGTGGTGCTCTTGAAGAGGTCGGTGCGAGAGCGGCAGCGCAGCTCTTTGTTCTTTTCGATGTAGATGTTGACAGCGAGGACGCCCACCATTTCAGCCAGGATGAAGGACAGACCACCAAAGTAGAACGACCAGCCGTAGGAGTAGTGCCACTTTTTATCCTCGTCTTTCTTTGGGGAGATATCACTGAGAGCTGCAGAGATGTAGACGATCACCCCGATGATGTTGCTCAGGCCTAGAAACAGAAACCAGACAAAACAATGGGCCTCATGCAAGAACCGTTCATACGCACAGATTTGTTCTTAAGTTGTGCGTACGAGTGATTTAGGAG